AACATCCTCATCTCTGAAAGAGTGACCGCTGGCCTGTAAATGAGTGAAAACTGCAGAGTTCTGGCCATTAGATGTAGCTCGTCTGTGTTGGGACATTCTTCGCCAATTGGTTCAGGCTGAATGAACCAATTGGCGGGCTGAACATTGGTCACAGGCCCGCGGGTCTCTAGTTGAATAGCTCTGGTATGGAGTGATTTAGACGTTCACGTTCTTCCTGTTTTGACTCTTTTCGCTGATCTGAATCCTCGTCTCCATCCAGCTGTACAGGCTGGAGCGCTACGAGGAGTGCCGGTCCGTCTACACCGACCTGATCAGGAACTCTCAGGACGAGTATGAGGAGGAGAGGAAGACCAACCTGGCTGCTGTGGTGGCGGCCATGAGTCAGTGGGAGAAGGCGCAGACGGTAAAACTCCTCGACTCGCCTGTCAGTTCTGCTCCCGGTCGCCTCTGACCTGGAGTTCTGCTCTTCTTCCTCACAGGAGGACCTCGGTCTTCCCGAGTCGACGTACGAGCTGTGCTACAACACCTCCTGCGCTCTGATTGGCCAGGGGCAGCTGACGGAAGCTTTCAACAAACTACGGCAAGCTGAAGGTCGGTGTGATCGCATGACGACACCCCGAATGATCTATATGTTTGACATTAACTGTTTTTTATTTTTATTATGACAGAGCTGTGCAGAGTCTCACTGGCAGAGGATTCTGTAAGTTAAAAATTTTCAAGGAAACATTTAATCCTTAAAACACTAAAAATTAGAGTTTAAGACGTGCTTCAGTGAGAGTCACGGATTGGATAAGAAAGGAAAAACAAGATTGATTAATTTTTTTAGACAATACTTCTCTCAGAGACAAACAAACCCATTAATGTGACGATGTGTGTTTCTTTATATTAAAACAACAAAAGTTGACCAAAGTGCCTCACAGTTCAAAGACTTGTGTCGATAAGAAAACAAAAGTTAAAATAAAACACAAAAACCAGCAGCTCTAATTGAACCTCAAACTCTGCCAAAAAGCTTAAAGTTTAAAATAAAATAAAAAAGAAATGTTTGCTTCAGTTATTTAAACTAAACATAAAAATAACTGAACTCTAAAGGTTATCTGGTGTGACATAATAACATTTAATATCAGGACACTGAATACATTTAAAAATTATGCAACTTTTTAAATCCATCGATTATTTGGTGCAACTGCTTGTCGTACCTTTCTATTAAAATGATTTAAAGTTAGTTTTTCTTCCTTTTTAAATTGTCGAGCTTCAGATATTTATGAAAGTGTTTTTAATCTGTGTGAAGTAGGGATACAAACAATCGATTTATGATTAATTGTCAACTAATGGTTAGTTAGGTTAAAATTCCTTCCTTTTGATTAATTGAAAACATCAGTTGAAACCTTATTTTGGTATAGTTTTGACTTCATCCAGCAGAGGGCYCAACTGCTCCCAGCCTGGCCTTACTACCCGGTCCTGTTGAGCAGAGAGCTGCATAGATGTCGGAAGCATCATAATTAAATGTGAATTGAATTGAATTGAATTGAATTGAATAAACCTTTATTGTCATTGTACAGAGCATAATGAACATCAAAACATTAATTGAAGAGATTTCCCAGCTGAGAAAAATGGTCAATTTAAAAAAAGTTGATTATAAAAGTATTATTTCTGAAGAAAAACCTGTTAGAAAACTTAGATTTAAAGTTAGATTAAAGATTGGCAACTATTTAACCAACCGACTATCCAGCCATTCAACCAACCGTTTAAACAATCAAATTTACTAACCTACCAACAATTTAAGTCATTTCAACCAACTTTTAAACAGCTAACAATTTAACCAACCAATTTACTAACCTACCAACAATTTAACTAACAGTCAATTCAACTAATCATTTAAATAGCCAACTAACAATTTAACCAAACAATTTACAAACCTACCAACCATTTAACCAACCAAATTACTAAACTACCAACAATTTAACCAACCAGTTTACTGTCCAACCAACCAGTTTACTATCAACCAACAATTTAACCAACCAATTTACTAACCAACCAACAATTTAACCAAACAATTTACTAGTCAACCAACCAATTTACTAACCTACCAACAATTTAACCAACCAGTTTACTATCCAACCAACAATTCAACCAACCAGTTTACTATCCAACCAATTTACTAACATACCAACTATTTAACCAACCAATTTACTAACCTACCATCTATTTAACCAACCAATTTACTAACCTACCAACAATTTAACCAACCAATTTACTAACCTACCAACAATTTAACCAACCAATTTACTAACATACCAACAATTTAACCAACCAATTTACTATCCAACCAACCAATCAAAAAACATTTAAGCAACTGACCATTTAAACTGCCAACCAGCTACCCAAACATTAACCCGACCAACTAACCAACCATTACAGAGTAGATGATGTGTTCTTCAGCTGTTTGGTTAGGAGGTTGAAGATTGTCAGTTTTTTGTCTCCGATCCTCACAGTTGTGGTTTTGTCTCTTCCAGGACATGACTGAGGAGGACATCGAGTCGGAGCTGGCGGTCATTCACTCTCAGATGGCGTACATCCTGCAGCTTCAGGGTCAAACAGACGAAGCTCTGCAGCTCTACAACCAGGTTATCAAGCTCAAGTGAGTTCAGACCTCCATCGACACGATCCAGCTTCAGGACCTGGGATTATAAAAGTCTAAACCCGACTCGCTCTGATTTCAGGCCGTCCGACGTGGGGCTGCTCGCCGTGACGGCCAACAACATCATCACCATCAACAAAGTGGGTGAAGACCCGGTGGACCGCACCGGTCCTGGTTCAGTTTCAGCCGTTGACTCCTCTGTCTCTCCTCTCAGGACCAAAACGTCTTCGACTCGAAGAAGAAGGTGAAGCTGACGAACGCAGAGGGCGTCGAGCACAAACTGGCCAAGAAGCAGCTGCAGGTCATCGAGTTCAACAAGGCTCTGCTGGCCATGTTCACCAACCAGGTGAGGCGGAGCCGCCGCAGTGACCCGTTTCTGAAGATTTACTCTTCAGAACCGGTCCTGACGCCAACGTTCTGCTTCCCAACAGGCCGACCAGTGCAGGAAGCTCTCCTCCAGCCTGCAGTCCCAGAACCCGGGTCACCCATGGCCAGTCCTGATCCAGGCAGCCCAGCTGTGCAGGGAGAAGCAGCACAGCAGGGCGATTGAGCTGCTCCAGGTGAGCACCACACTTTCACTTCCTGTCAAAGCTTCTGCTTCCTGTCAAAGCTTCTGCTTCCTGTCAAAGCTTCTGCTTCCTGTCAAAGCTTCTGCTTCCTGTCAAATTCTCTGCTTCCTGTCAAATTCTCTGCTTCCTGTCAAATTCTCTGCTTCCTGTCAAATTCTCTGCTTCCTGTCAAATTCTCTGCTTCCTGTCAAATTCTCTGCTTCCTGTCAAA